CAAGACAATGCGCCATGCCACACAGCCAGGTCAATCAAGGTGTGGATGGAGGACCACCAGATCAAGACCCTGTCATGGCCAGCCCAATCTCCAGACCTGAACCCCATTGAACAATTCTGGAATGTGATCAAGAGGAAGATGGATGGTCACAAGCCATCAAACAAAGCCGAGCTGCCTGAATTTTTGCGCCAGGAGTGGCATAAAGTCACCCAACATCAATGTGAAAGACTGGTGGAGAGCATGCCAAAATGCATGAAAGCTGTGATTGAAAATCAGGGTTATTACACCAAATATTGATTTCTGAACTCTTCCTAAGTTAAAACATTAGGATTGTGTTGTTTAAAAATGAACATGATTTATTTTATTTTCATTATTCGAGGTCTGACAACACTGTTATTTTGACCAGTTGTCATTTTCTGCTAATAAATGCTCTAAATGACTATTTTTATTTGGAATTTGGGAGAAATGTTGTCAGTAGTTTGTAGAATAAAACAAAAATGTTAATTTCACCCAAACACATACCTATAAATAGTAAAACCAGAGAAACATATTTTTGCAGTGGTCTCTTAATTTTTCCAGAGCTGTGTATATATAAATATATATTTGCTAGAAAATAAAACATATGGGGGATTGGAAGTGATGCAGACAATTACATTGATGGAAGTTACAGTCTATCTGCAATATTAAAGCTGATCTACCCCCTAAACAAAAAATTACAAAAAAAAAAAATTAATTCTGAATTCAATGTCTGATTTGTTATTGTTACCCATTTACCAAGCACTGCCCTTTAGAGGCTTTCGAAAAGCTCCCTGGTCTTTGTAGTTGAATCTGTTCTTGAAATTCAGTACTTGACTGAGGTACATTACAGATGTTGTATGTATGGGGGACAGAGGAAGGGGTAGTCATTCAAAAATCATGTCAACCCCTATTATTTCACACAGAGCGAGTCCATATAACTAATTATGTGAATTGTTAAGTCAAATTTTACTTCTGAACTAAATTTACCCTTGAATACTTATTGAACGACTATATTTTAGTTATTACGTTTTTATTAATTTGTAGGATTTTTCACTTTGACATTATGGAGCTCAATGACAAAATTACAATTAAAACTCTTTCAATCCCACTTTGTAATTTAAAAAATGTTGGCACTGTATATGTTTATTATTTATTGAATTGGACTGTGTCAGTTTGAATATAGACAGACACGCTGTGATTAAATGATCCTTTCAAACTCTGGCAATGTGTGTTTGTGTGTGCATGTGTATTCTGTGTTTATTTCCATGTCATTCCTCGAGCACTACAGATAATCAAGTGCTATTTTCATGTGATGCATTTGCTCCATTGTTTACATGATGATTAGCTAGCTAGGTTTCAATTAACTTGTACAGTGACTTTTTTGTAGACATTTAGAAAGTTTGCATAGAAAATAGATGCGACAATTGCCTGCCATTGTGTGTTTCCATTGAACTGTCTTGTCGATTAAAAACCAATAGGGTCCAGCCGCGACATCATCTCTCAGAGCAGTCATCCCTCAGGGTCTCTATGCTGCCGCCTACTGATATGTCATCTCTCAGAGCAGTCATCCCTCAGGGTCTCTATGCTGCCACCTACTGATATGTCATATCTCAGAGCAGTCATCCCTCAGGGTCTCTATGCTGCCACCTACTGATATGTCATCTCTCAGAGCAGTGCATCTCTCAGGAAAAGTGGGGGTGTCGAAAGGAACCATATAAGGGGAAGTGGGGGTGTCGAAAGGAACCATATAAGGGGAAGTGGGGGTGTCGAAAGGAACCATATAAGGGGAAGTGGGGGTTTCGAAACGAACCATATAAGGGGAAGTGGGGGTTTCGAAAGGAAACATAAGGGGAAGTGGGTGTTTCGAAAGGAGTCTTTGAAACACTAGAAGTGCTTGAATTCCATAACTACTAGAACCGCCATGACTTGATATTTCAATTATTATTATTTCAAATATTCAATAATAAATAAACGTAACATTACATACATGGCTACCGGTAGGTAACGTTCAAAGACATATTCACTCACTGTGAGCTGTAATAGTTTTTTGTTGCATAACTGAAATCCCTTACTGTCATCTCTGCAGACCATGACTAATGTCCGATAAACCAAAAGACATCTTGGCACCTTTCGAAACCCCACTTCTTCTTTATATATGGAGCATGATGGAGCCGGAGGGCATGGCTGCCGTTTTATGGACTCTTAACCAACCTGCTATTTTGTGTGTTTTTCGCATTGTTTGTAACTTATTTTGTACATAAGGTTTCTGCCACCGTCTCTTATGACCAAAAAGAGGTTCTGGACATCAGAACAGAGATTACTCACCTTGAACTGGATGAATAATTTTTATTTTATGACACACGACAGGGCCCTCATCCCCGTCATTTGCAGTAGAAAGAAAAGGAGATATTGCGGAAGGAGATCGGGGTGCTTGGTAAGGAGCCGGCGACGAGTGGCTAATCTGCCTTTGCCATCGATACTATTGGCCAACTTACAATAGCTTGATAATAAAGTGGACGAACTACAGGCACGAATACAGTGTATAACCCGCCAGCTGTCTGTTATTCATGTCGTCGTTCAGTCACGACTTGGTGAAACAAGATATTACAGTTTTTTATGTCCCGTTGGTAGGATAGTCTTAAACGGAGCTCATCCAGTTTATTCTCCAATGATTGTACGTTGGCCAATAGAACGAATGATAGAGGCGGGTTACCCACTCGCCGACAAATTCTCACAAGTCACCCTGATCGCCGCCCCCTGTTTTTTTACTTATTTTCTTCATGCGAATGATGGGGATTTGGGCCTTGTCTGGGAGCAACATTATATCCTTCACGGCAGACTTATTAAAGAATGAATCTTCCTCCAGTTCGAGGTGAGTGATCGCTGTTCTGATATCCAGAAGCTCTTTTCGGTAATAAGAGACGGTAGCATCAACATTATGTACAAATAAGTTACAAACAATGCAAAGAAACACACAAAATATCACAACTGGTTAGGAGCCCGTAAAACGGCTGCCATCCCCTCCAGCGCCGTCCTGCCAAGTTTGGTAGGCTACTAATGACCATCAGCAGCATCAGCGCTTGGAGAAGCCTAATTACCGTGACTAAATGGTCACATGGAATTTGACTGCTTTCATGACTCGTGACCGCCAGTGTGGCGGTAATACGGTCAACGCAACAGTCCTACTTATCGCCATGGTCCATGCCATGGTGAAACTTGCATTCATGTAAGCAATTTTTACAAAAATATAAATGCAACATGTAAAGTGTTGGTAGCATGTTTAATGAGGTGAAATAAAGGATCCCAGAAATGTTCCATATTCACAAAAAGTGTATTTCTCTAAAATGTTGTGCACAAATCTGTTTACATCCCTGTTAGTGAGCATTTCTCATTTGCCAAGATAATCCATCCACCTGACAGGTGTGGCATATCAAGAAGCTGATTAAACAGCATTATCATTACACAGGTGCACCTTGTGCTGGGGACAATAAAAGGCCACTCTAAAATGTGCAGTTTTGTCACAACGCCACAGATGTCTCAAGTTTTGAGGGAGCGTGCAATTGGCACGCTGACTGCATGAATGTCCACCAGAGCTTTTGCCAGAGAATTGAATGTTCAATTCCCTACCATAAGCTGCCTCCAACATTGTTTTAGAGAATTTGGTGTCCAACTGGCCTCACAACCACAAAATAAAAATCAACCCCTGTTGAACGGATAAAATGTTAGTCGCTCTTTAGAACATTTCTCCTACATCTGCCGTTTTCGTTATTTGTTGCGAGATTGCTTTTGTGGAATAAACCTTGGTCAATGGAAACCTGCCTACTGTTCTGATGAAGTTCACCTGATGGAAACTTCAAGCTTTTTAACTTTGCTTAAATAAAACGATGCATTTTTAATGGTGAGCAAGTGTTGCAACTTTTCCTACTGAAGGAAACCTTGACATGATACAACTGTCTACCTCTGGGGTTTAATCCAGACTAAATCCTTCAATAACCTGAGGCCATTTTTTTTTAGAATGTTTAAACCAAATCAAAAGGATCTTGCATTGTCTTAATTCTGTCTCCTTAAGCGGTTTGACCACAGTAAAAGTCCAGCAACACTTCCTATTACCTAGCTTTTTGTTCAAACACACCTTTTCTGTATTCTAAGGACTCTGGTGAGTAGACTGGACCCTGGTTTTATGGACACACAATCAATCGTTTTTCCTGTACAGTGAAATTTGTTTGTGCAATACAACAACAATACAGTAAGACTTTTCTTAAACATTTACTTTTCAAAATTACATCCTTGAACAATAGCATCTGTAAATTAACAATTATACAATCAAAATAATGTTTTCTTATTTTAATTGTGTATATTTTTTGTCAGTAGGCGAATATTATGTACTTAACATTAATTTACTTAAGCTACAACTATTTCTCAATGTGCTCCACCTTATAATATTCTTTATCTTATATAAAGTAGAAATCCTCTTTAGATTTTCCCCCGATGTGTTTTTTTACATTATGCACTATGCAAAGCTGCAAAAAATATAGATTTTTCCTATCATACACCTAGCGTTTTACCACGGACTTGTATTTCGAAGGCAAAATCTGAAAACTGGAAGTCCCGTGAAGCTAAAGCCTGTGCAATCTGGGATCCTGCCCTAAACACTAACCTTAACCCTTATGCCCTTACCCTAACTATAACCATAACCTAACCCTACCATTTTAAAACGTTAACTTCCCAAGGATCCCAGATTGCACGGACCGTGACGCTAATAGTGTTCAAAGTTTGTAGTTACCACATCCGGGTCTTTTGCGTCCTTAGCTACCACTCCAAAAGAAAAACATCACCACGCCTGCTTCAACAGCTATCAGGTATCTAGACTATATTTATAATTTAACGAAAAATACAACAGAACATTTGATTTATTTACCTATATACTTAATTCAAAATGCTCGATTATAAAATTGGGTTACGTTAACGTTACCAGAGCACCCATGGATATTACGAGAGGCAGTTTAGACGATATCTCCCGCCCGGCATCCAGCGAGCGTTCTCGCCCCGGTAGCCGTGTATCAACTGTGTTAATGCCTGACGTCGGGAGAGTTTGTCACCCCAGCCCGACGTCCCTGGTGGTCCTGAGCGATGATGCCCCCAACAATAAGCAGGTACCGTACCTGCAGTGGCGATTTTAGCATGTAAATCTTGTTGGGGCAATAAAAATAAATAAATAAATATGCATGCCAGCAAAGCCACTACACAACACAACACTAAACAATACATTAATTGCACTATAATGGTGACAAACGGTGCCCACAAACTGTTAGGGCCTTCATAAAGCTGTCCCAACACAACAGCAGAGCTTTCTTTTCAGCACCATGGAGTGAATCCTTACCACCCCTTCACCTGGCTATCAGCGGAGCCTTGTCTGGCAGCGAAACAGTTAATTCAGCCTCATTTACTGCCTTAAAAAAAAAACATAGCTGATATGGCTGACTTGCTTGAACAAATGTGGTTTCTACTGACAATTGAGATGTACAACCTATGGCATAAGGGAATGATGAGCGGATAAGAGGCAATCCGTAATTTCCATTAAGACATTAATGAGCGAGCTAGGACGGACGTAGTCAATATAACTATTTGTTCAGCACTTTTGAAATGTACAGCGACAGAATTCATAACATGGGCCGTTCTTACAGTATTCTCCCTGTACACCAAGTTAGAACCATAGGATCAATTATTTATTTATTTTAAATAAATAAATAAAGGGGGCATATAAGCAGACAATGAAAGCTCTTACAATATTCAATGATTACAGTTCTCTAAAACAGGCTATAGGCTACATGTGCACCACCAAGTCAGAACAGTAGGCTAAGTTATGAGGGGGAAAGGGACCAAATTATTAGGGTGAGGCACATGGGCTACTAACAGCTTCTACACAACATACACTTAGTATTACTTTCTTAGCTACAGTATACATATCTCCCTGGCATATTACATCATTTATGCAGCAGCCTACAAGACATTTTTGGACTCACCTTGTTGTGCTGTGCGCAATTGAACAGGAAAGTGGTTCGGCGGTCCTTCTTGTGGGCAGATCTTGTCATCAAACTTTGTCATCAAAGTCTGGCATTCTCTGGATTTATGGTGCTTTCAAGAGAACTGGGAACTCTGAAAAAAACAAGGTTGAATCATGTCGTCAGTGATCTTCAGGTCAGAGCTCTAGAAAGATAATTCTGTGTTGGATGACCGTTCAAAACGTATTGTTTTTTTCAGAGTTCCCAGTTGTCTTGAACTCACTGAAGTCTGAGATTTCCCAGTACCGAGTTTCCAGTTGTTTTGAACGCGGCAGAAGTCATGCTGGATTGACAGCATGGCCAATATATTCAACAAATTTTTTGGACCATGGTGTTACATGTGAATGTTAATCCTTTTAATCTTGGAAAAGAGACCTTAAATGCAGACTTGGACCACACACCTTCTTTCACATTTTGTTACATTACAGCCTTATTCTAAAATGTATTAAATACATTTTTTTCCCTCATCAATCTACACACAATACCCCATAATTACTAAGCGAAAACAGGTTTTTAGATATTTTTGCAAATGTATTAAAAATGTAAAACAGAAATACCTTATTTACATGAGTATTCAGACCCTTTGCTATGAGACTCGAAAATGAGCTCAGGTGCATACTGTTTCTATTGATCATCCTTGAGATGTTTCTACAACTTGATTGGAGTCCACCTGGGGTAAATTCAATTGATTGGACATGATTTGGAAAGGCACACACCTGACTATATAAGATCCCACGGTTGACCGTGCATGTCAGAGCAAAAACCAAGCCATGAGGTCGAAGGAATTGTCCATAGAGCTCCGAGGCAGGATTGTGTCGAGGCACAGATCTGGGGAAGGGTACCAAAAAATGTCTGCAGCATTGAAGGTCCCCAAGAACACAGTGGCCTCTATCATTCTTAAATGGAAGACGTTTGGAACCACCACGACTCTTTCAAGAGCTGGCCGCATGACCAAACTGAGCAATCGGGGGAAAAGGGCCTTGGTCAGGGAGGTGACCAAGAACTCGATGGTCACTCTGACAGAGCTACAGATATCCTCTGTGAAGATGGGAGAATCTTCCAGAAGGACAACAATCTCTGCAGCACTCCATCAATCAGGCCTTTTTGGTAGAGTGGCCAGACTGAAGCCACTCCTCAGTAAAAGGCACATGACAGCCCGCTTGGAGTTTGCCAAAAGGCACCTAAAGGACTCTCAGACCATGAGAAACAAGATTCTCTGGTCTGATGAAACCAAGATTGAACTCTTTGGCCTGAATGCCAAGCGTCACGTCTGGAGGAAATCTGGCATCATGTTTTTCAGCGGCAGGGACTGGGAGACTAGTCAGGATCGAGGGAAAGATGAACGGAGCAAAGTACAGAGAGATCCTTGATGAAAACCTGCTCCAGAGCGCTCAGGACCTCAGACTGGTTCACCTTCCAACAGGACAACGACCCTAAGCACACAGCCAAGACAATGCAGGAGTAGCTTCGGGACAAGTCTCTGAATGTCCTTGAGTGGCCCAGCCAGAGCCCAGACTTGAACCCGATCTAATATCTCTGGAGAGACCTGAATATAGCTGTGCAACGACGCTCCCCATCCAACCTGACAGAGCTTGAGTGGATCTGCAGAGAAGAATGGGAGAAACTCCCCAAATACAGGTGTGCAAAGCTTGTAGCGTCATACCCAAGAAGACTGGAGGCTATAATTGCTCCCAAAGGTGCTTCAACAAAGTACTGAGTAAAGGGTCTGAATACTTATGTAAATGTGATATTTCCGTTTTTAATTTTTGATACAGTTGCACAAATTTCTATAAACCTGTTTTTGCTTCGTCATCATGGGGTATTGTGTGTAGATTGATGAGGGAAACAAACAATTTAAATCATTTTAGAATAAGGCTGTAACGTAACAAAATGTGGAAAAAGTCAAGGGGAAAGTAATACTAAGTGTATGTTGTGTAGTAAGCTGTTAGTAACCCATGTGCCTCACCCTAATAATTTGTTGCCTTTTCCCCTCATAACTTAGCCTACTGTTTTGACTTGGTTGTGCACATGTAGCCTATAGTCTGTTTTAGATAAGTGTAATCATTGAATATTGTGAGCTTTCATTGTCTGCTTATATGCCCCCTTTATTTATCCTACGGTTCTGACTTGGTGTACAGCAGGGGGAATACTGTAAGAACAGCCCATGTTCTGAATTCTGTCACTGTACATTTCAAAAGTGTTGTGTTGTGTAGTGGCTTTGCTGGCATGCATCTAAAAATGATTTTTTCAGTTTGCCCCACCAAGATTTACATGCTAAAATCGCCATTGCCTACTACCATACCCCGTGCACTTAAATATTTTGTCTTGCCCATTTACCCTCTGAATGGCACACATACACAATTCATGTCTCAACGCTTAAAAATCCTTCTTTAACCTGTCTCCTCCTCTTCATCTACACTGATTTGAAGTGGATTTAACAAGTGACACCAATAAGGGATCATACTGTAGCTTTCACCTGGATTCACCTAATCAGTCTTTCATGGAAAGAGCAGGTGTTCTTAATGTTTTGTATACTCAGTGTATAAAAGCACCACCATCTTTGGTTCTGTTAGCTAACTGTTCAGGTTGGAGCTTTGTACCTGAAGGTCCCTTGTAGAGGTTGTGTTGTGTGGTTGCTGTACATGTTTGTTCAAAAACCATTTGAGGACCTTAGAAATGTTTGGTGTGGTGGAGTTTCTTACACTTTTTGTAATGTGTTTGGAGGCTTTGATGATGGCTGTGGAGTCTGAGTATTCCGTGGGGTTTGTCCTTCAGTGGGTCAACATTTTTGACAAAATATCCACAGGAAAGTATTATTAAACCGACTTCAACACACAGGTCTCTGTGTGTGGCCATCAAGATTTGTTTGCTCGAGACCTAAGATACGTGCACATGATTCATGCATACTAACCGAAGTCTTGCAGCTGTTTACATGGTTTTGCGCATGTGCCAGGTGATAGAAATTTAAACAGCAGTACCGTCGGTTAAATAATACTTTCTTATGGATATTTTTGGCAAAAATGTTGACCCACTGAAGGACCAACTGCACAGACAACCGGTAGGGTAAGTCCAGATGTAACCTCATCCCCAGGCTATTGCGCACAGAGCATATAAGCCTGGGATATCAAAGATTCAAAGTTGGCCTTAGTGGGAGTGACCCACTGAGTAAAGTATTGGAATCATAACATTTATGTGAATCACACGTCTGCGAGGCGTATTGTGGGAGATGATTGGTTGGTAGATTAAGCCAAAGCCGATATGTGCCTGGAGTTTCTCCACGTCTTTCTGTTTTGGCTAACGGTCTTTCTGCATTGGCTTAAAAAGGTCACGTTTGATGCGTTGGTCCTCCAGACTTCCACATTTGGGCGGAAGTGTCTGGGAACGAGATTAGTTCAAATGTAATTTGATTCAACATTCTGGCTTGTAAGGAAACTTTCCACGTTTTTGCAGTGCTTTGTTTCAGACTGTATACCAATAATTGGTATCACAGTCTGATTTATTACATTTTACATTGACATTTTAGTCATTTAGCAGATGCTCTTATCCAGAGCAATTTACAGGAGCAATTAGGGTTAAGTGCCTTGCTCAAGGGCACATCGACAGATTTGTCACCTAGTCTGCTCAGGGATTCTAACCAGCGCCCAATGATCTTAACCGCTAGGCTACCTGCCGCCCCTATAATTAGACAAGGGTCGGAGCAGTTTGAGAGCAGTGTTGCCTATATTCAACCGGTAGAAAATGAATGGTGGCAGAAGGCGGTAATCTAACGCTATGTTAATTTTTATGCCTATCTGAACTATACTGAAATAGTAAGAGCATCTTGTTGTGTACTCTTAACTTGGCTTTATAAAAATATTTTACTGTTACCCAGTCCTTACAAGGCAAGCCAACCCTTTATCCTAAACGTTGCTAGTTTAAAAAATATATATATCTGCCTCTAGCCAAGTTTCTAGACCGAGTGGGACTCGGGTCTTGTTATAACATATACCCACCCACCTTGCTAGTTATTCCCGACCCGTGACTGTGCCTGTTAGGCAACACTTTTCCCACCTCCGAAGGTACAGTATATCAGTAATCGGTAGACGGTTCTGATTGAAAAGTCGTCATTTGTATCACTGCGGAGTGCCCAAGAAACAATTAAATCCAATTGTAACAATATTGAGTAGTTATTTATGATGCAAGGTGGTTTGTATATTAGTCAGTCTCGACTCTCCTTTAAAGCCGGCTGTAATGTCGAAAGCGCACGTTTTCGCTGCCTTCGGCTGAGTGGCTTTCATGTGCACGAGCACCGCTGATCGCTCCGCATGGACAGTGTTCCGCCCCCCCGCCTAGCTCCATTGAAAATATATGGGAAACTGCCTCCACTTCTTGTCTGGAAAGCCCTTAAGACGGAATGTTAATGTTAAAATAACTATACTTACTGTTATTAACTGTAAACATGACGGCTAACGTTGTAGGGCTAATCTGCCTCCTGACTTTCCCCATCAATGGGCCTAGAACCTGCGGTTTGAATAGATGTTACAATTACTTTCCTAGGATCACAGCAACTCGCATGAAAACCTCAAGTCTCCAGATGAAAGTCTTCCTGAGAAAGGTAGGCATAAGTACATATCACTATGACATTTTAGGAAGTGGAATATATATATATATATTTAAAAAAAGATTAACGTGTGTGTATGTATGCATCTCTTTGAATGAATGTCCAGATCACTTCATTGGAGATGTATCTGATGAGGAGAACGAAGATCCAGAACTCCAGATGGCCATCAAGAAAATGAAAATACTTGATAAAATCTTGGCTTCAAGGATCTCAAATGAAAAAGAAGTCAAGAGAAAAGGGAAGGAGCTCCATCAAAAACTATGGCAGGAACTTTTGGTAAGCACAGGGATACACAGAGTACACACATGAAATGACATTTAAAAATGTGTATATGCTAAAGGCTATTTTCTACCTATTTCTGTGCAGCAGATAAAGCCCAACAGATCTTCAGAATGGGCAGATGAAGCAGAAAATACAAGGATGTTTTTGGCCCTGGCTCCTTCCAGTAGTAAGTGAAATAGTATACAGTAATTCCAGAACGCAGATCATTGTGGATACTGTCTACAACACATTGACTGACTTTGAGGACAATGTACTCATATGCCAAATTACGATTCCATGATAAACAAAAAAAACATTATTTATACTGTATATCACCATTTCCGATGAGCTTTTTTTTGTATGGGATATGTCACAGCAAATTGATAATGTTATTTAGATTCAGTCTCAGAATTTGAATATGGTAATTTACTATTAATATGCAGGCTATGTGTTATAATACATTTTCATTCACCCTAGCTCATGGATCCAGTGAAGAAGTAGACTTTGTTCCTGTGTTTGGGACTCAAGTGCCTAACAAAGAGTATGAAAGACACAACAGACAAGTGGAGGAAAGTGAGTTTGTTTAAATATGCTGAAACATAATTATACACTTTACATCATTAAGTTGCTCACTTTACATCATTAAGTTGCTCGTAACAAAGTTAGGCCTACATTGCAATGCAGTTTTAGTATTCTATGCTAGATGGCAGTATAACCTAGGAAACAATGTAACTGTTTTGTACTTTCACTGTGTATTCAGTTTTCTTGGTGCTTTCATTTCTGAAAACACCACATAGGCTACAGGTTTCCCTCTAAACTATCCATGAACAACTTTTCCCATCTTCTTTTAAATTTGCTGTATGACATGTCACTCAGTCATAGTTTGAGAGCCATGAACATTGTGGAGTGGGCTCTTTTCTAATTGCATGTATTTCAGTGGTTTCAGAAAAATAACATGCATCAAGTCAAATCAAATCAAATTGTATTTGTCACATACACGTGTTTAGCAGATGTTATAGCGGGTGTAGTGAAATGCTTGTGCTTCTAGCGCCGACAGTGCAGTAATATCTAACAATTAATATCTAACAATTTCACAACATATACCCAATACACACAGAACTAGGAAGGAATGGGATTTAAGAATATATACATATATGGAAAAGCAATGACAGAGCGGCATGGACTAAGATACAGTAGAATATTATAGAATAGAATGCAGTACAGTGGGGAAAAAAAGTATTTAGTCAGCCACCAATTGTGCAAGTTCTCCCACTTAAAAAGATGAGAGAGGCCTGTAATTTTCATCATAGGTACACGTCAACTATGACAGACAAATTGAGAAAGAAAGATCCAGAAAATCACATTTTATGATTTTTAATGAATTTATTTGCAAATTATGGTGGAAAATAAGTATTTGGTCACCTACAAACAAGCAAGATTTCTGGCTCTCACAGACCTGTAACTTCTTCTTTAAGAGGCTCCTCTGACCTCCACTCGTTACCTGTATTAATGGCACCTGTTTGAACTTGTTATCAGTATAAAAGACACCTGTCCACAACCTCAAATAGTCACACTCCAAACTCCACTATGGCCAAGACCAAAGAGCTGTCAAAGGACACCAGAAACACAATTGTAGACCTGCACCAGGCTGGGAAGACTGAATCTGCAATAGGTAAGCAGCTTGGTTTGGAGAAATCAACTGTGGGAGCAATTATTAGGAAATGGAAGACATACAAGACCACTGATAATCTCCCTCGATCTGGGGCTCCACGCAAGATCTCACCCCGTGGGGTCAAAATGATCACAAGAACGGTGAGCAAAAATCCCAGAACCACACAGGGGGACCTAGTGAATGACCTGCAGAGAGCTGGGACCAAAGTAACAAAGCCTACCATCAGTAACACACTACGCCGCCAGGGACTCAAATCCTGCAGTGCCAGATGTGTCCCCCTGCTTAAGCCAGTACATGTCCAGGCCCGTCTGAAGTTTGCTAGAGTGCATTTGGATGATCCAGAAGAGGAATGGGATAATGTCATATGGTCAGATGAAACCAAAATAGAACTTTTTGGTAAAAACTCAACTCGTCGTGTTTGGAGGACAAAGAATGCTGAGTTGCATCCAAAGAACACCATACCTACTGTGAAGCATGGGGGTGGAAACATCATGCTTTGGGGCTGTTTTTCTGCAAAGGGACCAGGACGACTGATCCGTGTAAAGGAAAGAATGAATGGGGCCATGTATCGTGAGATTTTGAGTGAAAACCTCCTTCCATCAGCAAGGGCATTGAAGATGAAACGTGGCTGGGTCTTTCAGCATGACAATGATCCCAAACACACCGCCCGGGCAACGAAGGAGTGGCTTCGTAAGAAGCATTTCAAGGTCCTGGAGTGGCCTAGCCAGTCTCCAGATCTCAACCCCATAGAAAATCTTTGGAGGGAGTTGAAAGTCTGTGTTGCCCAGCGACAGCCCCAAAACATCACTGCTGTAGAGGAGATCTGCATGGAGGAATGGGCCAAAATACCAGTAACAGTGTGTGAAAACCTTGTGAAGACTTACAGAAAACGTTTGACCTGTGTCATTGCCAACAAAGGGTATTTAACAAAGTATTGAGAAACTTTTGTTATTGACCAAATACTTATTTTCCACCATAATTTGCAAATAAATTCATAAAAAATCCTACAATGTGATTTTCTGGATTTTCTTTTCTCATTTTGTCTGTCATAGTTGACGTGTACCTATGATGAAAATTACAGGCCTCTCTCATCTTTTTAAGTGGGAGAACTTGCACAATTGGTGGCTGACTAAGTACTTTTTTCCCCCCACTGTATATACAGTGGGGAGAACAAGTATTTGATACACTGCCGATTTTGCAGGTTTTCCTACAGAGGTCTGTCATTTTTATCATAGGTACACTTCAACTGTGAGAGACGGAATCTAAAACAAAAATCCAGAAAATCACATTGTATGATTTTTAAGTAAACCATTTGCATTTTATTGCATGACATAAGTATTTGATACATCAGAAAAGCACAACTTAATATTTGGTACAGAAACCTTTGTTTGCAATTACAGAGATCATACGTTTCCTGTAGGTCTTGACCAGGTTTGCACACACTGCAGCAGGGATTTTGGCCCACTCCTCCATACAGACCTTCTCCAGATCCTTCAGGTTTTGGGGCTGTCGCTGGGCAATACAGACTTTCAGCTCCCTCCAAAGATTTTCTATTGGGTTCAGGTCTGGAGACTGGCTAGGCCACTCCAGGACCTTGAGATGCTTCTTACGGAGCCACTCCTTAGTTGCCCTGGCTGTGTGTTTCGGGTCGTTGTCATGCTGGAAGACCCAGCCACGACCCATCTTCAATGCTCTTACTGAGGGAAGGAGGTTGTTGGCCAAGATCTCGCGAAACATAGCCCCATCCATCCTCCCCTCAATACGGTGCAGTCGTCCTGTCCCCTTTGCAGAAAAGCATCCCCAAAGAATGATGTTTCCACCTCCATGCTTCACGGTTGGGATGGTGTTCTTGGGGTTGTACTCATCCTTCTTCTTCCTCCAAACACGGCAAGTGGAGTTTAGACCAAAAAGCTCTATTTTTGTCTCATCAGACCACATGACCTTCTCCCATTCCTCCTCTGGATCATCCAGATGGTCATTGGCAAACTTCAGACGGGCCTGGACATGCGCTGGCTTGAGCAGGGGGACCTTGCGTGTGCTGCAGGATTTTAATCCATGACGGCATAGTGTGTTACTAATGGTTTTCTTTGAAACTGTGGTCCCAGCTCTCTTCAGGTCATTGACCAGGTCCTGCCGTGTAGTTCTGAGCTGATCCCTCACCTTCCTCATGATCATTGATGCCCCACGAGGTGAGATCTTGCATGGAGCCCCAGACCGAGGGTGATTGACCGTCATCTTGAACTTCTTCCATTTTCTAATAATTGTGCCAACAGTTGTTGCCTTCTCACCAAGCTACTTGCCTATTGTCCTGTAGCCCATCCCAGCCTTGTGCAGGTCTACAATTTTATCCCTGATGTCCTTACACAGCTCTCTGGTCTTGGCCATTGTGGAGAGGTTGGAGTCTGTTTGATTGAGTTTGTGGACAGGTGTCTTTTATACAGGTAACAAGTTCAAACAGGTGCAGTTAATACAGTTAATGAGTGGAGAACAGGAGGGCTTCTTAAAGAAAAACTAACAGGTCTGTGAGAGCCGGAATTCTTACTGGTTGGTAGGTGATCAAATACTTATGTCATGCAATAAAATGCAAATTAATTACTTAAAAATCATACAATGTGATTTTCTGGATTTCTGTTTTAGATTCCGTCTCGCACAGTTGAAGTGTACCTATGATAAAAATTACAGACCTCTACATGCTTTGTAAGTAGGAAAACCTGCTAAATCGGCAGTGTATCAAATACATGTTCTCCCCACTGTACATATGAGATGAGTAGTGCAAGATATGTAAACCTGATTAAAGTGACTAGTGTTCCATTTCTTAAAGTGGCCAGTGATTTCAATAGGCAGCAGCAGCCTCCAATGTGCTAGTGTTGGCTATTTAACAGTCTGATAGCCTTGAGATAGAAGCTGTTTTTCATTCTCAGCTTCATTTCCAGCTTTGATGCACCTGTACTGACCTCACCTTCTGGATGATAGCGGGGTGAACAGGCAGTGGCTTTTGGCCTTCCTGTGACATCGGGTGCTGTATGTGTCTTGGAGGGTGGGTAGTTTGCCCCCGGTAATGCGTTCGGCAGAACGCACCACCCTCTGGAGAGCCCTGCGGTTGTGGGCGGTGCAGTTGCCGTACCAGGCGGTGATACAGCCCGACAGGATGCTCTCAATTGTGCATCTGTAAAAGTTTGTGAGGGTTTTAGGTGCTAAGCCGAATTGCTTCAGCTTTCTGAGGTTGAAGAGGCTCTGTTGCGCCTTCTTCACCACACCGTCTGCGTGGGTGGACCATTTCAGTTTGTCGGTGATGTGTACGCCAAGGAACTTGAAGCTTTCCACATTCTCCACAGCGGTCCCGTCGATGTGGATAGGGGGGTGCACCCTCTGCTGTTTCCTGAAGTCCACGATCATCTCCTTTGTTTTGTTAATGTTGAGTGAGAGGTTATTTTCCTGGCACCACACTCCCAGAGCCCTCACCTCCTCCCTGTAGGCGGTCTCGTCATTGTTGGTAATCAAGCCTACGACTGTTTTGTCGTCTGCAAACTTGATGATTGAGTTGGAGGCGTGCTTGGCCACGCAGTCATGGGTGAACAGGAAGTACAGGAGGGGGCTGAGCACGCACCCTTGTGGGGCCCCAGTGTTGAGGATCAGCGAAGTGGAGATGTTGTTTCCTACCTTCACCACCTGGGGGCGGCCCGTCAGGAAGTCCAGGACCCAGTTGCACAGTGCGGGGTTCAGACCCAGGGCCTCGAGCTTAATGATGAGCTTGGAGGGTACTATGGTGTTGAATGCTGAGCTATAGTCAATGAACAGCATTCTTACATAGGTATTCCTCTTGTCCAGATGGGATAGTGTGATAGTGTGCAGTGTGATGGCGATTGCATCGTCTGTGGATCTATTGGGGCGGTATGCAAA